AGAGTTCTCAGGATCGATTACCTGGAAAATCGTCTTTTTCTGAAGAATGGACGTCAATGCAGCGACCAAAGAGGAATCTTGAGAAATTTTTGGAGGGGGCGAAGCTCCCCTCCTCAGGGGTTACTTTCTGCCGTTCAGGGGGGTCAATTAAAACTCTTGGGGGTCACTTAAGATGTAAAAGTGTTCTGCTCCTCAATTTGGATGCAATCAATTTGCGATTCGGAAAGGAGCCCCAATTTTTAAAATTGGGCCCCCCGTTTACCTCCCAAGGGGAGCTAGAGGAGCTTCGGGACCATGAAATTTGGATTTCTCGGAGTTGATTATGAGGGTAACCATCTATTTTTGGAGAATCTACGTCAATTTTGAGACCAAAGAGACATTATGGAGGGGGGTACTGGCCCCCTCTTCAGGGGATCATTTTTGGGCCTTGGATGGGCCGATTATGGTTTTTAAGGGGTCAATTTCACGTGAAATTTTCCGTGCTTTTCAATTCTGATGCGATCAATCCACAATTCGGTCGGGAACTGTGACTTTTAGCATCGTGACCCCCCCTTTACCTCCCAAGGGGGGGGTGGGGGGGTTTCGGGACCACAAAATTCGGATTCCTTGGGGTCAATTCCGGGTAACCCCGCGGACCCCGACTTCGTACGACCTAAAATAACCGAGAAAAAGGCCTGGTACGGGTGGTCTGAAACATCCTGTATATAGATGCGCCGCCGCGCCGTGACGCTGCAAATCTCCAAAAAACTTACATTGATTGGAAGAACCCTGCACCGACCATGGGGGTCAGTGACTCTCTCTAGAAGTCGATGAAACTTGAATAGATTGATATAAAGTTCATAATTAAGGGAAAGCTAAAAAATAAGCTCATTTTTGCAAGTAGAAGCCGAGATATTCACAATTGAATCCGGACTTTTTTCTATCACGCCGCAGCATGGTGGAAGAATTCCGAGTCCCTTCTCCTCTTGTCGTTCGGCGTTCTCGATCAAACCTCACGCGTTGATAGATGCTTATGCGCTCGGCCGATGCGAATGCCGTACTCCCTCCCTCTCACCGCATCTGTCAATTCTGTTTAAGCAACTACATTTCAGATTCAACCGGCCGGCGGCGAACGCACGGGGATTCAAAAAGGGTATACGTGAGAGGTACGAGAAGGAGAGAGCTCCATATCTCACAGCCCAAACGGAGCTTCCTAATGAAGGGAGTGAGTGTAAACAATGCGACATCGTAGTTACCTGGTGAGGAGAGGGGGTTTCCTGGCTGAAGTGCTCAAGCAAGGTAAGGCGACGCGGAGCCCCCATTTACCTCCGCCACACGGAAAATAGTCCGGGTTCAATCGCGAATATCTCGGCTTCTACTCGCGAAAGTGAGCTAATTTTTTGGCTTTCTCTTAATTTTGAACTTTATATCAATCTATTAAAGTTTCATCAACTTTTAGAGAGAGCCACTGACCCCCGTGCTCTGTGGGGGGTTCTTGGGCGAAAACAGGCTGATCCGCCGGTTTTAGGCTGTACAATGACCTTTACTGAAGGAGGTACCTAGGAACCTATTGTAAATGAGAAAATCACTTATTCGACCCATGGGTAGGGGAGAGGGGGTTGAGGGTCACGGTGGAGCCGATTCATTGGCGCCGGTGCACTGCGCAAGGCATTATGTGCTAGGGTGATCCACTCTGGGCAACTTCGGAAAATGGACAGAGACGCTCCCTAAAGTTCCTCTCGATCCAAAAACGATACATGCTACACAGTTTTACTCTCTGATAACTTTAAGACCTGCCATCGTGAGACCGATTTTTGGAAAAATTGCTGAAAAAAGCAAAAAATAGAAAAAAATACGAATATTATGAAACTTCACAATGTTAGCAAAAAATCAGCATTGTACCTTACTCGTGTTCGACCAGGCCTCGAAAATACGAATTTTAAGTTTCAGACACATTTGATTTCCCTGAGAGAGACTGATAAATATCCGAAAACAGTGGAAACTGCAATTAATGTAAAATAGTCAAAACATATTCCGGCTCGAGAATTTCTGATGGCTGCCGATAAGTAGCAGTGTATTCAATAAAAAGATCAAATGATAACTTCCTGAGCCACAAGGTGAGCACTATTGCATAGAGTCAATTGAACTTCCCGTAAATTAAAGAATAAAATGCATAGAACTTCTTTCTGTGAAAGGAGTTAATTCCCTTCAATTACAGGGGAGTAATTGCCGAGCAGATATTCGTTTCAATCTCTCTGAAAAGATGGCTTTGAAAGGGCCATAGTTTCACAAATATATCACCAGAAAAAGAAATCATTGACCATCGAAAAGTGGACAGACCTGGAACACACTGGCAGCCAAGTTCACTCCTATCCCAGAAAACATGGGATTTTCTACAAAGCTCAGCAGTTTTAACAGCAAAACCATTGTTGCAATGTGCTTATCAGTGGGACAGTTAATTTACTTTTCAAACCCTTGAAATATCGTTATTCTATTTGAGGAGGTACGGCAATGCGTAATAAGGGGCAGGGAGCTCGAATATGCGGGTGCGGAGTGCGTACCTCTCTTATCACTTAGGCGCGTGAAGCCTTGCGCGGTGCCTATGAATCGGCTCCGCTGTGATCCCCGGCCCCCCCCCCTCCTCATGGTTCGAAAATGTGACTTTCTCATTCACAATAGGCTTCCGAGTACTTCCTTCAGTGAAGGTCAAGTTATTTTTATTTGGGCGCATTCTTTACCCGGAAAACAAAGTACCGCGGCAGAGCCCATTTTCGCCCCATTTAAATCAGTGTAATTTTACTTTTAGTTTCAGCCTCACGACGGCACGTTTTAATAATTGTCGGAGAGCGAAAATATTTGGCAGTTATCATATTTGGATGTAAAGGAACAAATTTAGGTTTCGCGGCCCATTTTCTGAAGTTACCCAGCTTGGGCCACCCTAAACCCCCCCCTACCCCTCCTCTGAAATTTCCGATGAGCCGAAAAGTAGCTCCTATTAACTTATAAGCACCCCCAAAATTTCGTTTTGAAACCAGCATGCGTTCAGAAGTTAAAGAGGGCGCTCAAGGACTCATCGCACACCCTGTATGAATCCCTAAGATGCTTGTGTGAAAGATAATCAGACATCTGAACGAGATCAAGTCCCTTCCCCTCGCAAAAAACTTTTCTTTTGGTGCTGTCTGAGGATCACGATGATCCAACCCAGGAGGATCTTTTTTAATTTATCCTTGTTAGTGAGCTAATTTAACAGTAAATCATGAACTCCAATGCGGATCATCACAGCAATCATGTTCCGAGGTCTTCCAAGAAGCCCTCCCTGAATGCAACGTAATGTTTTGGAAGCCTGCTTTGCCATGACTGTTTGCATGTTTTCTTTTACAACTATTCTTAAAACCAAGGTAAAAATTCTCTCTTCCTGTAAAGTTGTGGAAACTCTCTGAAAATGCATCCAAATAGGAATAAAAATCTTCAACTTGTTATTTCTGAAAAAAAGACAACAGTAAAACCTAGTGCCCAACACAGAAACTACTCGCAAGTATTAGATATGTAAGTTTTAGATACTGTATTTAGGTAAGTATCTAATACCAACTGATTGTGGTGGACGCACAGGTCGTGTTGGAGTTTTCTAGCCAACGTGCGTAAAAAGCTCAGCTTAAAGCTGAAATCTCATTACAGAGGGAAAAAGCTCACACACAAGCACAATTTTCCCTCAAAGAGATATGCTGTTTGGAGCAACACTAGTTACGTCCATTCAGAAAGGCAACTGCAGACGCGTTTCGGCCTCGTTGGGCCAATCCTCAGTGCAGTGCAGCCTCCTGAATTTCCTGCTACCAAGCTCGAGAGGTCGTGAAAACCACGGATAATCCAATTGGATAACCATTTGGATAGTCGCTCACCAGATGGCGCAAGTTTACTCGCCGCCGCGTCCGCTTGCCCAAGTCTCAGGCTGGTTTTCACGACCTCTCGAGCTTGGTAGCAGGAAATTCAGGAGGCTGCACTGCACTGAGGATTGGCCCAACAAGGCCGAAACGCGTCTGCAGTTGCCTCCCTGAATAGACGTAACTAGTGTTGCTCCAAACAGCATATCTTTTAGAGGGAAAACTGTGCTTGTGTGTGAGCTTTTTCCCTCTGTAATGAGATTTCAGCTTTAAACTGAACTTTTTACGCACGTTGGCTAAAAAACTCCAACATCCCAAGTATTTAACACTGCTTAAAATAGATATTAATATGTATTAATAATGGTGTTCACTTGGTAAATATCTGATACTAGTAGTTTGGCTACTAAGGTAGCAGTCCAGTATACCGGAAATCTTCATCCTTAAATGTAATTGTTCAGCCTCTGTTTACAAGCCAAGCGGATTGCCTCCTCCCATTTTGATGTCTCTTTACCTGTGAAGGCAGGTTGTGGAGTATTTCATTTTTTCAAGAATGGCCTCTTGGTTGTCTCGCAATTTTTTATTCTTGTTTTTACTTTTCTAAGACAAAAAATGCCTTCAGTGAGTCAATTTTGAATGTACACATTAATGCCAGCAAATACATGGAAAACATAAAGCCAGATAATCCGAAGAAATTGCCTTTTTATAGTGTTTTCAAAATTGTAACTTTCATAAATGGAAATTGTCAAACAGTTTGCTCGCAAGTTTTGAAAATTAAGATCTTCTTCACATGATAGGGAACAAAAAGCTTCATTAGTTCTCAATTTGAATACATTAAGAAAACTTCACTCGCAATGTCAGAATTCTGAGAAGGCAGATACATTTTGGGCTCTGGCTCTTCATCAGTCCAATGTCAGTGAAATGCATTGATGAGACAGGTCCAGAGCGCATCTGCCATTTCAAAACTTCTATGCTGCAATTTTCCCTTCAAACTTTTATTGTTCACTTTAAAACTGCTCCTAGAAAGCTTTTCTTTTCTTGTTTTATTTTTCCTTCAATTATTTGATAATATTAGGTGCTCATGATAAAACAAAACTTAAATACTCCCTCCAAGTAAATTTAATTGTTTCTATCTTCTTGAAATAGGTGGAACGAGTCCACAGCCTTTGCTTTTAAGAGTCCGAAGAGCACTAGATTACCAAGATATGCCATGGCAACTGCGCTACATTGGACAGTCAGAATTGGGTAATTTAATTTTCATGCAATTTCTCAACTGCTCAATATTTAACACCTTCCCTACCAAAGTGTTCTTGCATGATTGTTCCTAATGAGCCAAAAAAAGCTAAAGAAAACAACCAAATACAAAAACGTCAAACCATAGTTTCTGTCAATGGCCATGACGCTAGTCTCAAGTTACAAGGTCGTTCAATAGTGCTGTGTCCACACTATTGTTCCGGGAAAACAAGGCCTGAAAGTTCCAAAAATTTTCAATGAGAGTAAAAATTTTTTAGCTCTAACGAGTACTAACACAAGACTGAGAGGAGAGAGATTGTTCAGCTCAGGCAGGTGCATTGGAGTGCGTTTCTTAGTGTTTTTTTCTTGCCAGTCACAAGATTACTTGTGCGAATAGTTCTGCATTAAGTTCTGTGCAAGACATACAGATAGCATCTTTATCGCACTGCAGAGCAACGAATACGCGTAATACAAAATGCCAGTCTTTGTGATTACCTCTGCAAGCAACCAAAAAATGGTCGTTCTGACTAGCCTGGCTATTAATTCGTAAAATAATAAAAATCAAAATGAGTAAAGTATGACAGGAGACCGTAGAAGCAAAATGAATATTACAGTTCTGATAGATATTTTTTGATTTTCATAGAATATAGAATCCAATCCCAAAGAACCTTAAAGTCTTGTCCTAACTGTGTCTCTGTGTCTGTGTCCTGTGTGTGTCTGTTGTCTGTGTCTCTTCTCTCTTTTTATGTTGTTATGGCCAAAGACCAAATGTGGTGCTCTAGGAAGTGGTGGCCTTAAGAAGGGCGGTTGGAAGAGGCAAGCCAGCCTGCTGCATGATATCCGCATGCTGAATGAAGTGTGTGATTCGTGAGACTGGAGAAATGGACGTACCATTTCTTCGCCTCAACTTGTACGTTCAGCTTTCTGCAGACTTCAAAGTGCACTTGGGCTCACACTTTTCCGTGTCTGGTAGTGTGTTCTTGCTTCGCTAGTTCGGGGTACCCTGAAACCACGTAATCAATCGTTTCATCGTAGCGTCCACACAACCTGCACTTCGTTATGCCAGGGATGTTACAGATTTTGACACTACGGTACCGCGTTGCCAGGGCTTGATCTTGAACTGCTACCATCAGGCTCTTAGTCTCCCCTTTCAGGTGACCGTTCGTCAGCCACACTACTGACTTGGCTGCATCTATTTTTTCCTTTGCAATCATTCTGGGATATTGTCCGTGCATAGGCTTCTGCTTCCATTTCTCTTCTAAGTTGTGGCTGATCTTCTTCGTAGATTCCTTAGTCCTCTTTTCTGGTCCAATAGTCGCTCTGTGGACAGCATTCTCCTCTGCAGAGTAATCGTGGGCCTGTTTTCCGATGGACCCTTTGGCCGGGGCTTTTTGATCTTTTTCCAACACCATCCTTATATGAGGATCTTCTGCTACTTTCTCTTCTAAATACCCTCTGTTTCATATTTATCATGTAGGACTTGAACGCAGCTTCTACTCACCTTAAGCCTCTACCTCCTTTTTTCCTTGTCACGTAGAGTCTGTGAATTTCCGCTGATGGATGGGTGATGCAGCTAGTGAGTGGTCAGCGTTTTCTGTGTTTTCGTTTAAATACCATCGTTGAATTCTGCTTTGGCAATGTATGGCATTTTGCTAAGCTAAACTCCATACATGTATCCTTACTGAACCTTTTCACCTCTCTCAACTGCACTTTCTAGGTCTTCTTCCCCACCGGCGGTGGGGTAGGCATCTCAGAGTGTTCGAGCTTCAAATCGGGACCGGCTGTCTATGTACTCCTGACGATCGCTAACAAGCGTGAAACCGGTAGTGGCGCTGACAACAGGCCCGATTTCTTTACCCACACCCAACTCTCCTCAAATGAGGTTCTCGCTAGTATGGAAAAATCCATACAAAAAATATTCGTGACCGATAACTCATAAAAAATTGCATTTTATGAAAATAAAACAAAAATAAATTAAAATAAATATAGATAAATAAATAAATATATCATGCATTTTATAAATATATCGTACTTTTTTTATGAGCTACATTTTTCGACTCAGGGCTTCAGGATCGATGCTCTTTGAGCGAAAACTCCCGAAAATTACGAGGTCGCACCGTCTGCAATTGGTAGATATTTCATCGAAATCTACTTAAAAACAAACGAACCTCGAATGGAAAATTGCCAAAGCCCTTTCTTGAGTGCGCGTCAACCCCCTAGGAGCGCCGCCGCGGGCCGCGATGCTCACCGCGCCTCCCCGACTCGGAACGCGCATCGCTGCCGCGCACTTGCCTGCTACTAGATGTCTGAACATCAGTAATTCACTTTGAAGTAGAGTTGACGGTTCATTTTTAGTGCTCTAAAGGTGAAAATGATGATAAAATAAACAGTAACCCTGTTAACTGAACTATGGTGGAAATTTCGTATTTGCGGAATTTTGCTCATTAATATGATTAAGAATTACAAATATGAGACAAATTATTATCAGTGTATAACTTACCAGAACAGGGAAGGTGTTTCCGCGTTGAACTACATCAGATTTCTTAATTCATACATTTTAACTGATCAATCCATTCCATTTATTTGAATTTATAATATAACACTAAGCACCTCATGGTATGATTCAACACTTGAACTTTTGGAATCGAAAGTAAATAAAACAGTTGAATTTCGAAAAGTAGTTTTCGTTGAATAGTAGTTACACTAAGTACCCATTTCCGTCAAAGGTTCACACGATTATAATCTCTACAATGATTTTAAAAAAAAGCAACCGAGAAACGGACTAGTGGACGAATGAGATTTTTAAACACGAAGTTTATCACATATGCAAAAACAAGATCTCAAACTGTAAATGTCTCAAAATTTAAAGTCGCCTTTGGTATATGATTTTGGCATTATCTTCTGCTGTCAAAACGTTTCGAAGCTCAGGTAAGTTATACACTGATAATTTGTCTCATATTCATAATACTTGACCATATTAATGAGCAAAATTCCGCAAATACGAAATTTCCAACACAGTTCAGTTTATACGGTTAATTACTGGTTATTATATCATCTTTTTTACCTTTAGAACGCGATGCGTATTGCGGGTCGGGGAGGCGCGGTGAGCATCGCGGCCCGCGGCGACGCTCCTAGGTGGTTGACGCGCACTCAAGAAAGGGCTTTTATGCCTTTTCCGTTCGAGGTACGCCAAAATGGACGGAATTTGCGCGCAACGCACACGTTCTTCTTCATTTTAGTAGGAATTAATACTTTTTAATCGTCCAAATTCAGTTGTTCAAATTTCAACTCTTTAAGCCACGGTGCAAGGGTCTAGGGCTGGTTTCAGGATCCCAGATTTTTTGAGCTTATTTTTAGCCTTTTTGGTCTCTAAAAATCATGATGCAATCATAGCGCCGCAAAAAGGCAGTTTTAGCGCTCCGCTCTACCATGTAGGGATCCGAAATGCTTTAATCAATAGTTCTGCACTGTATCTGATCCTGGTACCTTCCAGTTTGCTGTTTTACCAGTGACGCTTGTTACCTCTGCCTCTGTTATTTCATTCCACTACAGCTCGAAGTCTGATCGGAGCTCTGCATTCCACTCTGCATCTTTATTATGCTCCGCCTCATTTATTATTATTATTCTCATTTATCCTTTATTCACTTAATTTTTACATTAAGGTACAAATCAGGTACACCTTGTTGCGGGTTTTTCTCATTATTATACTATGTCTTTTTTCATGCCGTGGCGGTTAAATTTTAGGTTGTACGCTTTGGTTCACCGGCATAGGCGGTTCTAGACCTTCATGCTTGGGGGTGCCCAGAGGTGGAAAATGTCGGAAACCGGCCCCGAAGGGGAAGGTCGCTCGGGGGAGGCCTAAGTTTCGGCCCTCAAGTTTTATCCCTTTTCTACCCTCCTTTCTCTTTGTCTCTCCTTCCTTTCTACTTAAATACCTATAAATTCAATGTAGAAAATTTTTAGCAAAACTTTCTATCAAAACTACAATCTTACCATAAAAAAACAGTAGAATCTTTGTAAAACACGGCTATCAATATTAATTCTGGTTCCGATAACCGTACTTAATTTTTGCTTGGGGGTGCCCGGCACCCACTGGCACCCCCGTAGAACCGCCTATGTTCACCGGAGGTAATCCATACTTCTAGGGGAAACTTCAATCAATGACTTTCCTTACGATGTGTGCCATTTGAGAAGGACTGTTTTCTGGAGCGTTGTAATGTTGCGCTTCCCTGGGATTTCTTCAATATACTTTTCTGCACTTTTTGGGATAGTTGCAGTTCCTCCAATGATGGCAAGAATAATTCTTGTCTTCATCTCCCACATTCTTTTTACCTCTATTTCTAGATTCGTTTAGAATTTTTAGAGAATATTTCGTAATTTTCTCGGCTTCTTTTTCACTTGGTTGTAGTCCGAAAGAACAGCTATGTTAATCAACAGACAGATGTTTAGTCATTTGTCCTTGATGATCAGATCTGCCTTTTTTCTTTGTATGTAGTGGTCTGTGTGTACTTGCATGTTCCTTATAATTGTGACATCCTCAGACTCTGCACTGGATTCTGGCTTGTATTCAAACCATTTTTCGACTAGTTTGATGTTATACAGGGTGTACCAAAAGTCCGTCCCACCCCTGCTAACTTTTGAACGAATTGAGCTAGGGTAATGAAACTTTGGGAATGTTCCTATCTCAAATGCTCCTATCTTTTGGGGGGGGGGG